GCCACCGACTTGCATTTTCACCTGGAAGACCTGCAGTTGTCCGCAACGAGCTCTTCCGACAGTTCACCGTTCCAATAGATCACTGCTGCATTTACCAGAAAACTTAGTCTCGCTTTTCGTGAGAGCTTTGGGGGTTGCAATCATGGCTTTGGCCACATCGTTCACAGGCGAAGAGTCGTCCGCCTCCCAAAACGAGTTCCACGTTTCTGGCGAGATCGCCCCGCAACTTCTGCGGATAACTGCTGTGTGCCGATGGCTGCTTCATTCACAACCTCTGAAGCCGAGACCGAGAAGTTGGTGGACACTGATTACTCGTGCGGGCAACAATCGGGTCCAGTGTCCCTGAACATCATAGCTGCTTATTTGTCAAAACATCCTATTTTAGCTACTGGCAGCCGCATGGGCCACTCTCAGGATATACTCACACTAGGCCCTCAAAATCACAAAATTGCAAAATGAGCGGCCAGATCAAGTCGTTCTTTTGCAAGTCTAGCAACTCATTTCGCTACTTTGGGATTTTGAGGGCCTAGTGTGAGTATGCCCTCTGAGTAGGGAATTTGACAGTGACCTCAGCGGGTAGCCTACATGCCAAGGTTAGATAGGTGGGGCCTGTTTCTCATTGTACATGACGTCGAGCTCCAAATCCCATTAAGGCTGCCAGTGAATCCCAACCCTTGTTGGAACTCCGTCATTACGATGGCTCTACCCCCTATAAGGCATTGCAGACTGTCATTCTTGACTCTCCCCTTCCCTTAGACCTGACAGGCTCTATCAATTCTCAATTTGTGCAGCCCCCCCCCCAGCCCAGGTACTTCTCACTCGGTAAGTGCTTGCACGGAGGAGGGCTAGCCCCTGACGTACGATTCCATACTACTGTGGAAGAGCCCGTGAACCACGGGCATCGATAAGTCCCGTCTGAGTGAGCGGGGGCAAGGTCCCACTTGTGCAAATTAGGAGATCTCGGTCGTTGATCTTCCCTATCTACGGTCAGTATCTCTTAGTTCGTGTAAGTGGGACCTAGTAGGTCCCACTTGCACAAATTGGGAGATTTCCGTCGGTGATCTTCGCTATCTACGGTCAGTATCTCTTAGTTCGTGTAAGTGGGACCTAGTCCCGGGTAAGACTGGACGAGAAATTGCAGTGTCCGTGGGTGATGTGCGGTGTGCGTGTTGAGTTGGACGCTACAGCCTTTCAGGGGTGGGGTGGACATCACGACCGGTACGATTCCACACCGTGTCCTGGCTGTAGCCGGCCGAGGTCGCCGGTTCGAATCCGTGTTGCACGGTGGAGGGCTAACGCCCAGACGTACGGAATCCATACCACTTCTCACAAGGAGACAAAAAACGGAACGACGGAAATTCAGCCATAGTGCACAGGACCGGTAGTTACGGCACGTCCTTGAACTCATTGCTTCAATTCTGTCGGTAAACGTTCTCCCTCCGCCTCTCACACGAAAGATTGGCTGCTTACGGGCGCGAGCGCGCACACACAAGCGCGCGAGAGAGAGAGAGACATCAGTGAACGTTCTCCCTCCGCCTCTCACACGAAAGATTGGCTGCTTACAGGCGCGAGCGCGCACACACAAGCGCGAGAGAGCGAGAGAGCGAGCGAGCGAGCGAGCGAGAGAGAGAGAGAGAGAGAGAGAGAGAGAGAGAGGGAGAGAACAGAGACATTCTAAGGGATATGGCAGAGGGTTGGTCGAGGGTAAGTGGACACAAGGCGGGAGAGCGAGGACGTTTTCTTGACGATTGACGGAGAACTCTCTTGCCATAAGCAGAGGGATAATGGTTCTGATTACCCCAGGTGGAAGACAAGGGAGGAGGACGTGTCAGATGGTGATGGTGGTATCATGATGGCGAGCGGCGTTAAGACTGAAAGAGTGGGCGTCGACTTAGAGAGTGATGCGGGGACATCACCACATGCAAGTTATTCCAAGTATCGTTCCAGTACCTATCATCACGAGAAGCAGAACCCTAAGGCGAAACGTGTTAATTATGTGGCCGATGAATACGATTGGAGAGATCTTCTACACGATCCCCTTGTGCTCATCTTCAGCTTTCTTGCTGCTAGGGACAGGTTTCGCGCTGGCAAAGTCTGCAAGACCTGGTATCGAGCCTCCTGGGATCCCGGCTGCTGGAAGCAAGCTGTTATTTCGTACGATTGCCTAGGCTGCCGCCATCAACATCAACGGGAGATAATCAATGTGGTGGAGAGGATCAACGCTCTAGATCGAATCCGATTAAATCAGATAGCTGCGATGGATGTCGTCACACGCGGGCAAGGTAAACTGATTGATTTGTCCGTGAATTTCTGCGACATACTACTCTGGAGTTCTTAGCGGAAAACTGCCCCCTTCTTGAGCGATTGAAAGTCACATCTCTATGCCTGGACAGCCGGTGGATGAAGGCCGTAGATGCAATTGCGACTGGGTGCCGATCCCTTTCCCATCTCGAAATCTCGATGTGGATATCTCCTCTACACGTGGCGGAGTTCACGGCGAAACTGGCGCCTCGTCTTCCAAAGCTGACTTCTTTGGCCCTTTCGAACACCCAGATCACCGATGATTTACTGAGCGCCACTGCAGACAGCCTTCCTGATTTGCAAGCACTGACGTTACAGATGGAGCAGTGTATCACGGACGCCAGCTTGGGCGTAATTGCCAGAAAGCTGAAGCGATTGAAAACGTTCGATCTGAAGATGTGCGGCTCAGTGACGACAGGGGGTGTGAACTCTTTGCGCTCTCAAAGGCATGATCTGGACGTTGAAGTGTTGATGTGCTGATTGTTTTTGAAGTGTTGATGTGCTGATTGTTTTTGAACTGTTGATGTGCGGATTTTTTTTTTTTTTTTTTTTTTTTTGACCAACACATTCAATATAGTGCTGATTGTTTTGAAGTGTTGATGTGCTGATTGTTTTGAAGTGTTGATGTGCTGATTGTGTTGAAGTGTTGATGTGCTGATTGTGTTCCGAGTAATCAAGTGTGTGTGTGCCGAAGTACCGTCATAGAGAAATGCCTACTATGGTGAATCGTAGGCAGAGAGAGGGAGAAAGATGACAACAAACCACGGGCTGTGCAATTATGCTGTGTCATCTAAGTTTCACCCACTCATAGATATCGACAAACAGAACACCATAGAGAGATAGGGAGAGGGAGAAGAGGGCAACAAGCGAAGGGTTGTGACAGACTGTTTCGTCGAAGCTTCACCAACTCATCAGGAGGCGGACTTGTATATATATGTTGCATCCACGTGGGCGGCCTTGTACGCAAGAGGTTCTGAACAGGGGGAGTTGAAAGTAAGAAGATAAAAAATACGAAAAACAATTCTTGTTTTCTTTCTGTTTTTTTTTTTCGCTCTGATAACTCTGTGACGATATATATATATATATGTTTGCTTCCCCCTGTTTTGTTGTATTTGGCTGTTCCCTTCCTCTTTTCTTTGCCTCTTTGCCTTTTGGCTGTGTGCAAGTAGGTCGATATGACACACGGGGGTGGGGGCAGCCGCCGCTCAACCTACATCCACGTGGGCGGCCTTGTACCCAAGAGGTTCTGAACAGGGGGAGTTAAAAGGAAGAAGATAAAAAATTGAATTCACTTTTCTTTTCTCCTTTTTTTCTTCCCTTTTTTTCGCATTTGCGCTCTGATATTTTGTGACAATATATAAGGGGGTATATATATATTGCTACGCTACTCTCCACATGCACAAAAGACAAAAGATATGGCGGTGTATCTTCCCATTGTTCCAGGGGAAGATTCATTCTTGTTTTACACATTTGGTGAGTAGTGGAGGGAGGCCCACGGTTACTCCCGTTTGGGCTCGCCCGAATTTGTCAGCGCGAACGGCCGAGCGATCGGACCCTCCCAACGGCCGTTTGGCCGAACGTCGAATTTCGGGCTTTCTTTTTTTTTTCTTTCTAATTAGTTATTTTCATTTCTTTTGTTCTCCCAATGAGGGGGGGGGGTTGTTGTTCTATAATAAGGAAGTTTTTTTTTCGTTTTTTTTTTTTTTTTTTTTTTTTTTTTTTTTAAACAACTGTCTGTATTCTTCTCTCAACTTCTGTTTTGTTTGCCTTCCACTACCTACTCCTAAGACTATCTAGAGGGGACCCCTGCAAGCATAGTTTTCCTCTCTGTGTGAAGGGGAGATTTCATGTTGCCCCTTGCCCCTAATGGTTAGGGTATAGGGTTGGGGCCGCCAGTGGGGTTCTGGCTAACACAAAGACCGAGACCTGCCAGTAGCTGTGCCTCCCTTTCTCATCGTCCCCCACCCTTCATCGAGTAGCAGCAGAGGCTATGGCCAACACTCTCCCATACACCACACAACCCACTCGCACTCACACCCGTGTTTTTCAGCGCCCGCTATTTTTCGAGTAAGAAACAAAAAGGTTACGCGGGGTAGTGGCATTGCCAGCCGAACGCTGTCTCCTCCCTCGGCCCTTTCGCCCACGCCTCGGCCCTTTCGCCCACGCGTCCTTTCCCCGTTTTTCAGCGCCCGCTATTTTTCGAGTAAGAAACAAAGGTTACGCGGGGTAGTGGCATTGCCAGCCGAACGCTGTCCCCCCCCCTGGGCCCTTTCGCCCACGCCTCGGCCCTTTCGCCCACGCGTCCTTTCCCCGTTTTTCAGCGCCCGCTATTTTTCGAGTAAGAAACAAAAAGGTTACGCGGGGTAGTGGCATTGCCAGCCGAACGCTGTCCCCCCCCCTCGGCCCTTCCGCCCACGCCTCGGCCCTTTCGCCCACGCCTCGGCCCTTCCGCCCACGCGTCCTTTCCCCCCTCCCTCCGCTGCCCGGCCATAGGGGTGTGATGTCATATTCGCTATACACAACTCGACAAAGAAAAGCATGACTGTGCCAGACTATTTCGTCGGACTGTGCGGATGTGCGTCGTTGTGATTGACTGATTGATTGATGTACTACACGTTTGATTGGTGGATTGATGATTGATTGATTGATTGATTGATTGATTGATTGATTGATGGAACTATGGATAGAAGGATCTATCTCGGTCGATTGACTGATTGATTGATTGATTGATTGATTGATTCATTGATTCACTGATTGATTGATTGATTGATTGATTGATTGATTGATTGATTGATTGATTGACTGATCAGTCGATCGTCTAGATCGATGTCGAAGAGAATTGAAAAACGAAACTGAAAAGCGCGTCTGCCTCTCTGTGCGTGTGTGTGTGAGTGCGTGTGGGGAAAAGTCATAAACCCTCCCCGCGACGAAACCTTAGTATCCATTTGCCCCTAAACGGGGAAAAACGTGCCGCAGGTCCAAAATCACTTTTGGTGTCACTTTTGCACCCTGGCTCGGCCGGTAACGGCCGCTGTGTCGGGAGATCGGAGTCCCGAATCGCGGACTTTGTTGGAAAATGTGAAGAGTGCGTGGTTAGTTTTTTTTTTTTTTTTTTTTTTTTTTTGTGGTTAGGTTTTCGATGTTCCCTTTAAGAGAAAAAGAAGAAAAAATCGAGGAGATATGGAGAGAGACGTGGCTTGCTATTAATTGTTGTTGAGTTATTAAAACCTTTTTTTTTTTTTTCATTTTTTCATTTTTTTTGAATTTGTTGAACGTGTTAGGTGTATGGAATATTTGTGGACGTCTGCTAAAATTGGAACGATACGGAGAAGACAAGCATGGCCCCTGCGCAAAGATGACACGCGTAAATCGACAAAAATACGGAGAAGACAAGCATGGCCCCTGCGCAAAGATGACACGCGTAAATCGACAAATCGTCCACTTTTTAAGACGGGGGGGGAGAGGGGGGGGGTAATATTTGTGTCCCCGATTCTTGAGGAGGAGATGTTGGGAGAGGTGAGTTGCATATTGTTGAGTGTCTTTGAGTCGTTGAGCGAGGATGGAGATGGGCCTCCCAGCTGTGAGGGAATGCCCTATGTTGTACAGAGGAAGCGCCGAGCGGGGGGAGAAGTGTCTGTTTTTTTGGAGGCATAGGATGGTGTTGGCGGATCGGAGTACAGGGGGAAAGAGGTAGGCGTTCTAAGGTAAGAGATGGAGAAATTTGGGAGAGAGACATATGCACAGATATGTCTCAGTGTCAGTGTGGTCATGCGCTGTGAGGACGATTGACTGACGACAGAGAGTGGCGGCGTGTGCAGGTGAGCTTGTCATCACTTCTCGCTTTGCGTCCCTGGTCATCCTGTTATGTCATGGCCCCTTCTCTCTCTCTCTCTCTCTCTCTCTCTCTCTCTCTCTCTCTCTCTCTCTCTCTCTCTCTCTCACCGTCAACAATCCAGAGCAGGCATTGACACGACAGCCAATGATAGAAAGTAATTCTCAATTCAATCCGGGGTTAAGGGAGTCGGCAGACTACTCTCGAAATGTCGATTTTTTTTTTTTGGGCGGGTGCATCTGGCCATCTTCTAGGGCGAAGCTCATTCTCATTTTGCACATTTGGAGAGTGGCGCGGCGGTGATGCCCTAACTGCAGAAATAAAGCGTTTTCGATGTTTGCCAGCGGAGATGTTGTCGCGGTCGAAAAGGAAGATGTATTCTTTTGCAATGAATTTGGGACCCCGACGGCAATTTTTTTTTTTTGGGGAAAAGTCATAAAACTTCCCCGCGACGAAACCTTTGTACTCATTTCCCCCCAAACGGGGCAAAAAGTGTGGCCGGCCCCGAAATGACTTTTGGCGTAATACTTGCACCTTGGAAAACACTTTCCCGCCATTTTTGCCAGCGGGCGTGACGGCCCCAGCAAACGTGCAAAAATGACACGAAAAGTCATTTCGGGGTCTGCGACACTTTTTGCTCCGTTTAGGGCAAAATGAATACGAAGGTTTCGTCTGAGGGGAGGTCTTATAACTTTTCCCGTGAACACACTATTTTTGAAAAGTACGCTTCAATCAATTTTTTTTTTTTTTTTTTTTTTTTTTTTTTTTTTTTTTTCAATCAATCTCAATAGGCCGATTCCCGACTGGTTTCGATTGCCTACCAACGATAGTTCTCGGGACGTTTCGGCCTCAGTTCTCTTTTTTTTTTTTTCGCACCCAACCCGCCTTTCTGTGTGTCTAATACTGTTTATCCATTCCGTCCGCTCCGTCGATCCCGACGGTTTTCTTAGTCCATCTCTCTCTCTC